CTGTCCCCTGCTCCAGGGCAGGAGGGGCCTGGGGACCCTCAGGCCTTCCAGAGCCCCCAGCCCAACCCAGACCCACCGAGGGAGGGGGAAAGGGGCTGGAAAATCCTCCTGGCTGGGATATGGGAGCTGGGGCTGCAGGGAGGGCTGGGACAGGATCCTCCGTGCCACCCCCGGGGGTGACAGCAGTGACAGCCCAGCCAGCCCTCCTCGTGTGTGGCCCCCAGTTGGGCTCAGCTGCTGCTCCAGCCTTGCCAGAGCTGGGATTTTGAGGGCAGGGATCCCAAATTTCCAGCTGGGGCTCTCCTTGTGTTCACCTTGGCACCCCCTGAGCCCGGGAGCTGCTGGGGGTGGCTCTGCCAAGGATTGTCCCTGTCCCTGTCCCTGGCAGAGCCAGGAGGGGCTCAGGAGGTTGAAGGGGGCTCCCAAGCTTCCACCATCTGCTGCCAGCCTGGAGAGCCCAGGAATCCCTGCTGGGCTCTGGGGGGGCAGCCCAGGCTGGGAGGGAGGTGCTGGGGACCCCCCGAGGGTGTTGGGGTGGCAGATCCGTGCTGGGGATGCTCCCAGCACACCTGGGGGCTTTCTTGGTGGAGAAAAGGGGAATTTTCTGCCAAAAAAAAAATGCTGAGAACTCCCTGGTGCCCTGGGGTTTGTGGGGCAGTCACAGCCCCCACAGGCAGCTCTGTCACCTGGGCTGGATTGTCCTGGGAGCCTGGACATCAGCCTGTCCCCTGGGGAGTGGGGAAGGGATTGGGAATGGTGTCCCTGGGGGCCTTTCCCTCTGTCCCTCCTCTGCCTTTCCCTCTATCCCTGCTCTTGCTTTCCCATCTGTCCCTGCTCTGCTTTTCCCTCTGTCCCTGCTGTGGATTTCCCTCTGTTGCTGCTCTGCCTTTCCCTCTGTCCCTGCTCTGGTTTTTCCCTCTGTCCCTGCTGTTCCTTGCTCTGCCTTTCCCTCTATCCCTGCTCTCCCTTTCCCTCTGTCCCTACTCTGTTTTTTCCCTCTGTCCCTGCTCTGGCTTTTCCCTCTCTGCCTTTCCCTCTGTCCCTGCTCTGCTTTCCCCTCCCCGGGCTCTCCCATCCCTTTGCAAAGCGAGGAATATCCAGGGCTGATCCCTGCAAAGAAGAATTCACATTTTTCCTTCCTGCTCCCAACTCTGAGCAGCCCAGAGCTGGAACTGTGCCACGGGGACAGCGCGGGGACAGCGCAGGGACACCCCCTGTGCCCTGCCCGGCCCCGAGGCACCCCCTAACTCCTGCCCCGGCTCTCCCCCTGCGCAGCACTGGGAGCTGCTGGTGCTGGAGAAGCTCAAGTGGGACCTGGTGTCGGTGATCGCCAACGATTTCCTGCCGCACATCCTGCACCGGCTGCCGCTGCCCCGGGACAAGGTGGAGCTGGTGCAGAAACACGCGCAGACCTTCATCGCGCTCTGTGCCACAGGTGGGTGCAGGGCAGGGCTGCTGGCACGCCTGGCACGCCTGGCACGGCTCCCCGCCTTTTTTGGGAGCTTCCTTGCGAGGTTCAGGGGGGGACGATGCTCGGGGGGGCTCTTGGATGCCCGGAGAGCAGGGCTGCGTGCCGGCCGCTGGCTGCGCGGGTGGGAGGGTGAGTCCCCAACGCTGGGAGTCCTGCTGGATCAGGATTCATCGTTTATTTATTGATTCTGTCCTATTTATTAGCATTACTATTGTTTATTAGTATTGCTATTATTAGTATTACTATTATTTATTAGTATTGCTATTATTAGTATTACTATTATTTATTAGTATTACCATTTTTATTAGTATTACTATTTTTATTAGTATTACTATTACTATTTTTATTAGTATTGCTATTACTAGTATTATTATTTATTAGTATTGCTGTTATTAGTATTATTATTAGTATTGCTATTATTAGAATTACTATTATTAATTAGTATTACTATTATTAGTATTACTATTTTTATTAGTATTACTATTATTCGTATTATTATTTATTAGTATCGCTGTTATTAGTATTACTATTATTTATTTGTAATTGAGCCAAGAAATGGAATTATCAATTCCGTTTTCTTCTGTCTGGTGACCTTAAGAAAGTCCTTAAAGATCAGATAGGAAGAAAATGACAGTTTTCTACAATACCTTGTTTGTTATTTGGAATTGCAGTCCTCTTCCTGGTCTGTGTGTAGTCTGTTAGTTATGAGAGAAAAAAAGAGAGGGGTTTACTGGCCAATAATATTTAATGTTGGAATTTTAAAAAATTAAGTTGAATATTAAGAATTTGCTGTTCACAGTTAATGCAACTTTAAAAATTAAGTTCAATATTAAGAATTTGCTGTTGACGGTTAATGCCCCTTTTCAAAAAGTGTGGCTAATAAATCTAAATCATGATTGAACTCTAAAAAAGCCCATCACAAGAGGACATTCAGAGTAATCAAAAATGAAGAGATCATTTAATCATGAAGTTATTTGTAGTAAAATACAAATTAGTCTCTACATGTAGAGGGCTCAGTCCCAGCTTTTCTCAGCCTCTCATCCCAAAACTGCTCCTGAAGGCCTGGCCTGCTGCTCAGCCCTTCCATGCTCCTCCACCCCACGCTGCACAGACCCCTCCGTGCAGGGCAAACCCCGACCCCGAATCCAAACCCCGACCCCAGACTGAGACCCTGACCCCAAACCTGACCCCAGACCAAGTCCCTGACCCCAAACCCTGACCCAAACCTGACCCCAGCCCAAAACCCGACCCCAAACCCAACCCCGACCCCGACCCCAAACCCATCCGCAAACCCCAATCCAAACCCGACCCTGACCCCAAACCTGATCCCAGAGCCCGACCCCAAGCCCTGACCCAAACCCGACTGTAAACCCCAGCCCCAAACCCTGATCCAGACCCCAAACCCTGACCCCAAACTTTAAACCCCGACCCCAAACCCTGACCCTAAACTTCAAACCCTGACTGCAAACCTGACCCCAAACCTATCCGCAAATCCTGACCCAAACCCGACCCTGACCCCAAACTCGATCCCCGACCCCCAAACCTGACCCCAAACCCAATCCCAAACCCAAACCCCAAACCCATCCGCAAACCCCGACCCAAACCCAACCCTGACCCCAAACCTGATCCCCGACCCCCAAAGCTGACCCCAACCCCAGACCCTGACCCCAAAGCCGCCCGCAGCCCCGCTAACCGCTGTCCCCGTGCAGACTGCACGTTCGTGATGTACCCCCCGTCCATGATCGCCACCGGCAGCATCGGCGCCGCCATCCACGGGCTGGGCCTGGCCGGGAGTGGCCTGGGCGGCGAGGCCGTCACCGAGCTGCTGGCAGGGACCACGGGCACCGAGGTGGTGAGTGGGCACCGGGGCTGGCACGGCTGCTGGGAGCCTGCTGCTCCTCGGGGACATCGGGGGGGACAGCTGCCAGGGCAGGGCGGGGGGCTGTGCTGCTGGAGGTGTTCCAGATCCGGCTGGATGGGTCACCTGTGTCACCTGCTCCTGGTGGCCGTGGTGAGGGAGGGACTGGTCATGGTGAGGGGGAGACTGGGATGGACTGGTCATGGTGAGGGAGAGAGACTGGGATGGACTGGTCATGGTGAGGGAGAGAGACTGGGATGGACTGGTCATGGTGAGGGAGAGAGAGGGATGGACTGGTTATGGTGATGGAGACACTGGGATGGACTGGTTATGGTGATGGAGACACTGGGATGGACTGGTCATGGTGGTGGAGACACTGGGATGGACTGGTCATGGTGATGGAGACACTGGGATGGACTGGTCATGGTGATGGAGACACTGGGATGGACTGGTCATGGTGAGGGAGAGAGACTGGGATGGACTGGTCATGGTGAGGGAGAGCTCAGGGATGGACTGGCCAGAGGGATGGTCAGCCTGGGATGGTCTGGCTGTGGTGAGGGAGAGACTGGGATGGACTGGTCATGGTGGTGGAGACACTGGGATGGACTGGTCATGGTGAGGGAGAGCTCAGGGATGGACTGGCCAGAGGGATGGTCAGCCTGGGATGGTCTGGCCATGGTGATGGTCAGCCTGGGGTGGATTACTCATGGTGATGGTCAGCCTGGGATGGTCTGGCCATGGTGATGGTCAGCCTGAGATGGTCTGGCCATGGTGATCGTCAGCCTGGGATGCAGGGATGAGCTCCAGAGGGCCCTTCCAGCCCCAGCTGCTCTGGGATTCTGGAATTGTGCTGTTCAAACGGTGCTGCCCCGGTTTGAGGAGAACCAAGGGCTGTGGGATGATCCCAAACACAGCCTGGGCAGGGCAGGGTGGGCTCAGAGCCTTTGAAATGCCACACAAAGGGCAGGATCTGTTCCCATGGTGATGGTCAGCCTGGGATGGATTGCTCATGGTGATGGTCAGCCTGGGATGGTCTGGCCATAGTGATGGTCAGCCTGGGATGATTTGCCATGGTGATGGTCAGCCTGGGATGGACTGGTCATGGTGAGAGAGAGAGACTGGGATGGTCTGGATGTGGTGATGGTCTGCCTGGGATGGACTGGCCATGGTGATGGTCAGCCTGGGATGGACTGGTCATGGTGAGAGAGAGAGACTGGGATGGTCTGGATGTGGTGATGGTCAGCCTGGGATGGACTGGTCATGGTGATGGTCAGCCTGGGGTGGATTACTCATGGTGATGGTCAGCCTGGGATGGTCTGGCCATGGTGATGGTCAGCCTGAGATGGTCTGGCCATGGTGATGGTCAGCCTGGGATGCAGGGATGAGCTCCAGAGGGCCCTTCCAGCCCCAGCTGCTCTGGGATTCTGGAATTGTGCTGTTCAAACGGTGCTGCCCCGGTTTGAGGAGAACCAAGGGCTGTGGGATGATCCCAAACACAGCCTGGGCAGGGCAGGGTGGGCTCAGAGCCTTTGAAATGCCACACAAAGGGCAGGATCTGTTCCCTGCCCGGGCAGGTGTTGGCAGGATCGGGTTCTCGGGCTGGGCTGGGGACAGGGACACGTCAGGCTCGGCATCTGCTCCCCTCAGGGTCCGGTTGCACGTGGGAAAGGGGGGGCTGGGACATGAAACCTTCCAGCTTTGGGGACATCAGGATGGGGGCGTTCTCCAGCCCCTCAGTGCCCTTGGAGCGGGGACAGGGATCCTGGGGGGCTCCAGTCAGGAGCTTTTCCTGTCCCCTTTGATCTCCTCCCTGCCCAGGTCAGTTACAGTCCCCTGCCAGGACCTGGGGCAGGGTGGGGGTGGGAGGCTCCTGCTCTGATTGTGCAGATGGAATTTTTTTGTTCTCTGGGGCCTTTTTGAAGAGAGAATCAGTGCAGCCACCTGCTCTGGGAGGTCGGGGCTGTGCAGGAACAGGTGGGAAGCAGGGAGGGCTCTGTGGAGCTGAAATGGAGCCCTGCACCCTCCTGTCCCCTCCTGTCCCTCCCCAGCATCTGCTGTGTCCCCTGCCCAGGTGTGGGGTGCCTCACAAACAGCTCCAGCCCTGGCAGGACCACGGCAGCTCCTCCTGGGACGTGAACACAGAATTTTGGGTTCCTGGGAGAGCACCTGGGCTCAGCCTCCCCCACCTGTGGTGCTGCTGCTTCTCCCCGAGCGTGGCCCCAGGCTGTGACTCAGTTTCCCCTCTGGAGGAGCCATCCCCTTCCTGCAGCTGGGAATGCAGGGATGGTGCTGCAGGGCTGGGCCAGCTCTGTGGAGCCCGGCTGGGTGTGACCAGGCTGGCCTTGGCACCCAGAAGTGCCAGTGGGGAGCTGGGAGGGCCATGGGGATGGAGAGCCTGGGATGGAGTGGTCATGGTGAGGGAGAGCCTGGGATGGACTGGCCATGGTGAGGGAGAGCCTGGGATGGACTGGCCATGGTGAGGGAGAGCCTGGGATGGACTGGCCATGGTGAGGGAGAGCCTGGGATGGAGTGGGTGTGGAGATGGAGAGCCCAGGGATGGAGTGGCCACTGGGATGGACTGGTCATGGGGATGGACTGGTGGTGGAGATGGAGAGCCTGGGATGTGCTGGGATGGTCAGCCCAGGGATGTGCTGGACAGCTGGGGATGGTGATAGAGAGCCCAGGGATGGACTGGCCATGGGGATGGACAGCTGGGGATGGTGATAGTCTGAGGTGACCCCACAGCCAGGTGCCCCTGGGGATGCACAGCCCCTGCCCAGGTGTCTGTGGGGATGCACAGCCCCTGCCCAGGTGCCCCTGGGGATGCACAGCCCCTGCCCAGGTGTCTGTAGGGATGCACAGCCCCTGCCCAGGTGCCCTGGGGATGCACAGCCCCTGCCCAGGTGTCTGTAGGGATGCACAGCCCCTGCCCAGGTGCCCCTGGTGCTCGGGGCTGGGGCAGGAGGAGGCTGCACTGACGGGAAGCCAGGGAAGGGGAGCTGGGCAAGGGGAGCTGGGCGTTGCTATTTTCGCTCGCCACATCCTCTGTCGGTTTCTAAGAACTGCTGGCGGATTCCTGGTAAGAGATTTCGGGGTGTGACAATGTCCCGTGAGGTGCAAACTGTCACCAGGCTGGGCTGTGGCCCCGGGGTGTCCGAGTGGGAGTTTCCTCCTGCTTACAGCTCGTGGGGGAAAAACCAGAGCAGGGTTTGCATTTCTGGCAAGTGCTGCTGCTGTTGGCCCCTTCCTGTGCGTGTCCCCCAGCTCTGGGTCCCCTGGGGGTGTCACAGAGGGGACAGGAGGGTGAAAACCTTGTGAGGAGCTCGGTAGCCACAGCGTGGTTCTCCCAGCGTGGATGGGAGGTGGTGTAGGGTGGGTTTGGGGTCAGGGAGGGTCCTGCTGCCTCAGGGGCACCCAGCAGAATTCCTGTGCCCAGCTCTGCTGCACAGAGCTCTGGGAAAGCTGGGCTGGAGGGCCTGGGGAGCTGGAGGGGGATCCCTATTCCAAGGACAGCCATATTTTTCTGATCTGAGAAGTTTGGCCTGCTCTTGTCACCCAGCTGAAGCCACACCCTGGCTCCAGGACTTTGGGAAGCTCTGCTGGACACAACATTCCTGCAGAACGGGGTCAGCAGGGAGGTGGGGGGAGGACAGCCAGCGTGTGGGGCTTTGCCTGGGGAGGGACAAGCTGATGGAGAGCATCTCCCTTTCCCTGCTGCTCAGACGCTCGGTGCAGCCCAGCTGCTGCTCTGAGCTGTTCCTAAAGGAGGAGGAGGAGGAGCAGGATCTGATGGCTCCTGTGTGTTTCCCTGTCCCAGGACTGCCTGAAGGCCTGTCAGGAGCAGATTGAGGCGGCCTTAGCCGAGAGCCTGAAGCAGGCATCCCAATCCCAGCAGGAATTCAGCGCCAAGGCGGCGCCCTACGGGGGCAGCCAACCCACCAGCACCCCCACGGACGTCACCGACATCAACCTGTGACCAACTGCCCTTGCCCAGAGCTCCAGCCCCTCCCTGGACACCCCCAGCTCGCTGCACCCCCCCTGCCCCCCCAGCACCTCCGAGGGGTCCCTCCCAGGCCGGGAACGTGGAGCGGGATCCGCGCTCGGAGCTGCTGCAGGTGGCCAGGGGGGTGAGCCAGGTGGTGCCAGGGCACGGGGAGCAGGAGCCTGGATGAAGTTGGAATTGTTTCTGTGTTGGTGTTTCCTGGCTCTTCTGGGCCACTTCCAGCCCCGTGAGGGACAAAATTCACGGAGAGCCAGCCCTGCAGGACCCGAATCCTCGCCACCCCCAGCTTCTTCCTGCGGGGCCACGGGGCTCGTGGAGCAGCTGCTTGGTGGCCCCTGGGTCCTGATTGCTTCGTGCCACATTCCCACAGCTCCGGGGGGAGTCGTGCAGCTGCTTCTGCTTGGAGAGGACCCGTGGGGCTCGTTTGTTTTTGCTGTTGGATGTGGGACTTTGGGGACGCGCTCCCCGTCCGTGCCTTGGGAGGAGTTCAGGGTCCCCTCGGCTGCTTAATTTATTGTTCACTGCTGGGAAAGGGGAGGGAGGAGAGCTGGCATTCCTCGGGGTGGGGCCTGGGTGCCGCTTTCCTCTCCTTCCCAAAAAAGTGCCTTCCCCCTTCGCCCCTTCCCCGGCTCCCTGGGCAGTGGGAGACTCCCCTCGGAGGCTGCTGGGCCCTTTGGTAGCTTAGGCATCAGACTAGGATTTAAGGAAAACCTTTGAATGTGCTGCTATAGTCTGGGATGCATCTCCACTCTTCCAAGGCAGGGATTTCGGATCACGCTCAGGAGGGGGCTGTGTTCACCCACGTGGATCTGAGCTGCCTCCTGAGAGGGTGGAAAACTTTGCTGCGCACTCGAGTTGGAAAAGCAATTACTGCATTTTTGTATCGTTGTTGTTGATCCTGTTAGTTTTTTATAAAAATTGTTGTAAAACAGAAGAAAAAAAAAAAAAAGGAAAAAAAAAATAATGCTGCTTTTCTATGAGAAAACCAGATGGAATTAACCAGGAGAAGGCAGAGAGTACACAGGGAGGGGAGGCAGACGCTGCTGCTGCTGCTGCCTGGGGCCCTCTGGACATGTGGCTGTTGTCCTCCCGTGGGGGATGTGGAAAAGGAGGTAGAAATCTTCCTTTTGGATGCCACCAGCCCCACAAAAATCCGGCGGAAAAAGGTGGGGCTGCTGCTCCTCCCTGAGCCTGCCTGGTCCGGAAACCCACGGAGCCGCTGCCTCCTGCGAGCAGGAGGGCTGGGACAGAGCCTGCCTGTGCAAAAGGAAGTGTGTTTGGTTGTTTTGTTTTCTTTTTTTTTACATATATATAAATATATATATAAAAAAGTGAATTTTTAATTTAAGAGTAAACTGGTTTGGTGTTCACTTGCACGAGTCCCGCTGCTGGGAGATCCAGAGAACCCTGTGACGTTGCAATAAAATATTTTAAACAAAAAAAAAAAAACAAAAACCCCAGCGGCTCGAGGGTTTCCCTGCGCCTTTCTTGGATCTCTCCCTGGTTCTGGGGATCCCTTGGGAGCTCCAGCCTTGCTTTTCCTAGGATGGAATGGGGAGAGGGCAGGCAGGACCCTGAGGGACACTGGGGGCAGCTCAGGGATGGTGGTGGAGCCAAAACCCTTCCTGCAGGTGAGGTGGCCCTGGAGCAGGGGCAGCAGGCTGGAGCGTGACGGGCACTGGAGCAGCTCAGGTGGTGGCAGGAGAGTGCCAGGCACTCTGTGCCAGCCCAGGCTCCCTCCTGTGCTCATCAGCCTCTGGCTTCTTTAAGATAAAATCAGGAAGTCACAGAAAAGGCTGGGGGGTGTGGGGACCCAGCTCCTGCCACAGGAGGTGACAGCAGGGGGCAGCTGCCCTTGGCACAGCTCAGCGTGCAGCAGGGGCTCCTCTCCGTGGCCCAGAGCTGCAGGGCACAGACCTGGCAGTGGCAGTGGCAGCAGGTCCCAGGAAGTGCAGCCTGGCGCAAAAGCCCCCCCTGGGTTTTCCAGCAGAGGTGGCACTCGGGCACAGTGCCAGGAGCAGCCAGGCAGGTGGCATCATGGCCAGGTGAGGATGGTGGCCCTGTGGCTTCAGGAGTAAACCCTGAGAGGCTTTGTGTGGGAAATCCCTGGGCAAGGAGCTCCAGAAGCTGGTGGGGACAGGGACGGACTGGGAGCACGCAGGGCAGAGCCAGCCCTGACTCAGTGACACAGCTCTGGTTTTATTTCCAAGTACAGGAACAAGCCAAAGTGTCCCCGTGCTGGTGGCACTGGGCTCCTGGGTGGCAGTGACAGCAGCACAGAGCTCAGTCCAGCTCTGTGGGCACAGCCTGTCCCCAGTGACCACTCTGAGCAGCAGGATCCAGGAAAGATGCTCTGATCCAGGATCCAGGAGGGATGCTCTGATGGAGGATCCAGGAGGGATGCTCTGATCCAGATGAGATGCTCTGATCCAGGAGGGATGCTCTGATCCAGGCTCCAGAAAAGATGCTCTGATCCAGCTCCCAGCAGCACCCCAGGCTCCAGCCCTTCCCTGCTCACTCCATGGCCACCGGCTGCTCCCCTTCCACGTCCCTCGTCCCGGAGTTCATCAGCTCCCGGCGGATCTCGGGCGAGATCTGGGGGTGGCTGTGGAACTTGAGCAGCTCCAGCAGGGCCTCCTTCTGCTCCGAGGACAGGTCCTCCTTGTAGCGCTGCGCCAGGGCCAGCAGGCTCTGGTGCCACAGCACGGGCAGGAGCCGCTGCTCCGAGCGGAAGGCCAGGAAGTGGAAGACCAGGGCGTCGAGCACGCGGAAGGGCAGCGCGTACTTCTTGTCGATGAGCAGGCGCAGGAAGATGCTGTTGGCACCGCTGTACTGCATCTCGGCCAGCTTCAGCAGCGCCGCGCTGCGGGGACGGGGACAGCCCAGGGTAAGGGACAGGGGACAGGGACAGCTCAGGGGACAGGGACATGGCAGAGGTCAGGGGACAGGGGACACAGACAGCTCAGGGGACAGGGACAGCTCAGGGTAAGGGACAGGGAGAGGTGAGGGACGGGGACAGCTCAGGGTAAGGGACAGGGGACAGGGACATGGCAGAGGTCAGGGGACAGGGACGGCTCAGGGGCAAGGACATAGCAGAAGTCAGGGGACAGGGACAGCTCAGGGGACAGGGACATGGGAAAGGTCAGGGACAGGGACAGCTCAGAGGACGGGACATGGGAGAGGTCAGGGGACAGGAACACAGGAGAGGTGAGGGGTCAGAGGACAGGGACATGGGGATACGGAAGAGGTGAGGGGTCAGGGGATGGAGCCATGGGGACCAAGGAGGGGTTTAGAGTCAAGGACAGAGTCACAGGGACACAGGAGGGGGTGAGGGGTCAGGGGACAGATGAGGGACCACAGGGGTCAGGGGGGACCAGGCAGAAGCCACAGGGACCAAGGAAGAGGCAGAGCCAAAGCCATGGGGATGGAGTATGGAGCTCAGGGACCACAAGGGCCAGGGGGACTGGAGCCATGGGGACTGAAGAATGGGCATGGGGGGACCAGGCTGGAGCCACAATGACCAGGGAGAGACCATAGAGGTCAGGGGGAACTGGACTGGACCCTGGAGCACTCAGGCACAAAGCTGAGCCTTGAATCTCAACCCCAGAGGGAGCTGAGTGACCCCTCACCACCTCTGAAGGGATGGAGAGGCTGAGGGGTGGATCCAAGGCACTTCCCAGGGTCCCTGGAGGAGAAGCTCTTCCCCCCCAGCCCTTTAGGGCCTCACCTGGAGTGCAGGACAGGGATGGAGCACTTGGTGAGGATGCTGCCGATGATGATGGCCTCCCTGAGCGTGCAGGTGCCCGACTCACAGAGTGGAATGAGGATCCCTGGGAATGGGGGGAATGGGGACAGTCGGGCACCGACCACCTCCATCCACATGCAGAACCCTGCGGTTCAGCCCCTTCCCCCTAGAAATCCCCATCCTTGCACCAGCCCCTCAGGTAGCCAGGCAAGCCCCAGAGGAGACCCTGCAGGACCCCTACCCTTGAACCAGGCTGCTGGCTTGAACAGAGCCTTCTTCAGAGCCATGTACAGGTGGAAGTTGAGCCGCTTGTACTCGGCGATGTCGTCCCGGATCCGCGGCAGCAGCACCAGGTTGTAGAATCTCTGGGCCATCCTCTCCTTCAGGTTGGAAGAAAATATCCTGGGATCAGCAAAGCATGAAAGGATGGATGAGGAAAGGAGGCCAAATAGGCAGGTTGGTGTTTTGTAAAACTGACTCTGGTTATGGGAAAAAACACCCCAAAAATCCCATGCCAGAGGGTCCCTGAGGTGACCTTACCTGGTGGCCTGGTACATGGCAGCAGCTGTCCACGCCTCTGGCTCAGTGATGTAGAGGATCTGCTCCCAGTTGGACAAGGCAGGAATGATTTTGAATGCCTTGGGGAGCTTCCCACTCCTGTACTTGGACAGCACCTTCAATGACAGGGACATGGGCCAGGCCATGACTGGGGGAAGTGACAGCAGGGACAAGAGCACGTTGTCACCTCAGGGTGGTGGCTGCAGGTTCAGCTGCTCTGTCCTCACCTCCCTGACACCCCTGTAGACTTCCAGGACACGGGGGTCGAGCTGGGGCATGGGGCAGCCCGAGAGCTCCGAGAGTGCCGTCTCCACCTCCGTCTGCTTCTCCGTGATCTTCTCCATGATGATATCGGCCAGTGTGCGCCTGGACCGGCAGGGACAGCGTCAGTGGGGGACACGGGAGGGCTGGCAGGGGACAGGGGCAGTGGGGGACACGGGAGGGCTGGCAGGGGACAGGGGCGAGCCAGGGGCTGACAAGGGAGGGGGGCGAGCTGGGGTCTGTGCACGGCCGACACGGGACCAGGAGGAGAATCGGGTCGCAGGGGGATACCACGATGGGATCACATCGCATGGGATGGGGGTGAGCTGGGGGCTGAGACGGGACAGAGATTGAGTCGGGGGCTGAGACAGGACAAGCAGTGAATCGGGGGTCGCACGGGGCTGACACCGGACAGGGCAGAGCCGGGGCCGTGCAGGGAGGCGGCCCCTGCCCGCTGCACTCACCTCAGCGGCGGGTTCTTGTTCATGAACATCTCGATGGCTTTCTCGTCCTCGGGGTCCACCTCCACCTCCCCGCCGTAGTCCCCGCTCCGTCCCGCGGCCGCCGCCGCCTTCTCCAGCGAGGGCCATTCCTCATCATCCTCCGAGTCCGAGCCGGGACCTGCGGGGAGCGGCGCTGGCTCAGCCCGGGGCCGCGCACCCTCGGGGGTCCCGGGGTTTACCAGGGGCTACCGGGGCCTCACCGAGAACCGCGCTGCGCTGCCGAGGGGCTGCGGGCGCTCCGGGGCCGTGCTCGGCCTCCAGCTCCTCCTGCTGCCGCCGCGCCTGCTCCAGGATGCGCCGGGACAGCCGCGCGTCCACGAAGCCGTCGCCGCCGCCATCCCCGCCCGGCTCCTCCGCCCCGCCGGGGCTCCCGCGCTTCTCCCGCGCCCGCACCCGCGGGGCCGCGTCCTGCAGGATCTGCTCGGCCAAGGGCAGCGCCGGGGCCGGGCCGGAGCCCCGCGCCCGCCGGGCCTTGGGCATCGCGGCGGAACCGGGGGACAGCGGCTCCGGGCCGGGGAGCGACACGTGGGATCTGCCCCCGCCTTTTCCGGGGCGGATCCGCCTCTTCCCGGTGCCACCGGCTCCGCCCGTTCCGGTGCTGGCAGCGGCACCATGGGGGTCACTTGGTGGGTGAGGGGGGCTCCGGGACGGGCTCCGGGGTTCGGGGGGAGGCACCGGGATAGACTCCTGGAATAGGGGGCGGCACCGGGAATGGGCTCCTGGAATGGGGGGGCGGACCCGAGAGGGCTCCCGGCGCGGACAGCCCCGGGGCCACGGGGGGAATCTCCGGGTGCAGGATGCGGAGCAGTCCCGGGGGCGCGGCCGGCGGTGCCCCGGTGGGTCCGTGAGCCCCGGTCCGTGTCGCAGCGTGTCGCAGGTGCCGGTGGCCGAGGGCAAGAGCGTGCAGCAGACGGTGGAGCTGCTGGCGCGGCGGCTGGAGGCGCTGGGCGCGGACAAGCAGGGGACGTTCGGCGTGGACTGCGAGACCTATCACACCGCGGCCACCCTCGGCACGCAGGGTCAGCAGGGCCGGGGGCAGCGGGGCAGCCCTTCCCCAGGCTCCTCTTTCCCTTTTCCTTCCCGTCCTCTTCCTCGTTTTCTCCTTCTCTTTCCCCACCTTCCCTGGCGGCGCCTGGGTCTGGTGCTGGCTGATGGGGTTTAGGGGTTGCAGTGGCAGTGCTGGGTGAGGGTTGGACTGGCTGATCATGAAGCTTTCTTCCAACTTAGTCGATGATTCTGCAATTCCTTCTTCCCTTTCTCCTTTTCCCTTTTCCTTTCCTCTCTTCCCCTCCTTTTTTCCCTTTCCTTTTCCCTTCTCCCTCTTCCCCTGGCTCCCCCCATCCCTTCCAGGCATTGATGTGATGTTCACCACTGAGCCCACACAGCTCTGGCTCTGCTGAGCCGTTGTTCCCGGCCAGACCCATTGGAATCTTCCAGAGATTTTTCCTGCTTTTTTGGCAGCTGAAACGTGGAGGAGAGGCTGAGCCCAGCTCCCTCCGGGCAGTGGGTGGGAGGTGGGTGCTCCTGGGCTTCTCCTTTCACCTCACCCCGAGCCGTGCTGATGTTTTATCCCTATAATTTTCCATAAGAAAATCCAAGCTCTTCCCTGAATGGATACCATAATAACCACGTGAAGATCCAGAATTAAAGCAAGGAGGACGAGAGGCAGCAAGAGGAGCTGCTTTAAGGCAGGAATTTGGTTTTCCAGCCCGGCCCCCTCGCTGTCATTCCAGGGCAGACAGGGAAGCTGATGTACGTCATGCACAACTCCGAGTACCCCCTGAGCTGCTTCGCCCTCTTCGAGAACGGGCCCTGCCTGGTGGCCGACGCCAACTTTGACACCCTCATGGTGAAGCTCAAGGGCTTCTTCCAGAACGCCAAGGCCAACAAGATCGAGAGCCGCGGCACCCGCTACCAGTACTGCGACTTCCTGGTGAAGCTGGGCACGGTCACCATGGGCCCCAGCGCCAGGGGCATTTCCGTGGAGGTGAGAGCCCTTTGGGAAGGGTGGGGAATGCCTGGATGGGCAGGGGGATTCTGTGGGAGAAGCTGGAGAAGGGAGGTTTAGGGGTGATCTAATTGAGGGTGTCTGAAGTGAGCCAACGGGGAAGATGGAGAGAGGTGGTTTAGTTATAAGGGCCTGGAGTTCCAGGAGAAATAGGAATGGCTTCACACTGCCAGAGGGCAGGGACAGATGGGATATTGGGAAGAAATTCTTCCCTGGGAGGGTGGGAAGGCCCTGGAATAGATGTTCCAGAGCAGCTGTGGCTGCCCCCAGATCCCTGGAAGCGTCCAAGGCCAGGGGACTTGGAGCAGCCTGGGACAGTGGAAGGTGTCCCTGCCCTGGATGAGCTTTAAGGTCCCTTCCCCAAACCATTCCATGATCCCTGTCCTGTCTGTGTCTCAGTCATGTCACTGGTGCAGCAAGGCTTGGACTGCAGGTTTGGATCTCCTCTCCCAAGGTTTAATCCAGGGCTGTCCCTGCAGTGGGTATCCCTGCAGGAATTCCATCTAGATAAAAAGCTGATTAAATACCATCCCTCAGGTTAATCAGCATGGTGAAGGGGATAAAACAACCTCTCCAGTGCTAATTCTGTGCTGATTTGGGGCTTGCTGTCCTTCCCTTTGGAAAGAGCCTCTTGCATGTTCCCGGCATGTCCTGTCTTGTTTATATTTACCCATCCTTGTTAGATGCCGAATACTTTGAGATGTTTCCATGAAAAGCCTTCCCTGCAGGGAGGCTCCAGGGCTGTGGGGATCTATACTCAGGTGGAATTCTGCCCTGCTGCCACCTCCAGGGGGTTTGGGCTGTGTTCCCAGGTGGAATACTGTCCTTACTGCCAGCTCCAGGGCTGTGGGGTGGTGTTCCCAGATGGAATTCTGTCCCTGCTGTCATCTCCAGGGGGTTTGGGATGTGTTCCCCGGTGGAATACTGTCATTCCTGCCAGCTCCAAGCCTCTAGGGCTGTGTTCCCAAGTGGAATTCTGCTCCTATGAGCAGCTCCAAGCCTGTAGGGCTGTGTTCCCAGTTGGAATACTGCCCCTGCTGTCACCTCCAGGGCCCTGGGCTGTGTTCCCAGGTGGAATATTGTCATTCCTGCCAGCTCCAAGCCTGTGGGGATGTGTTCCCAAGTGGAATACTGCCCCTATGCCTGCAGGGCTGTGTTCCCAGGTGGAATTCCGCCCCTATGAGCAGCTCCAGGCCTGCAGAGCTGTGTTCCCAGGTAGAATTCCGCCCCTATGAGCAGCTCCAAGCCTGCAGGGCTGTGTTCCCAGGTGGAATTCTGCCCCTATGAGCAGCTCCAAGCCTGCAGGGCTGTGTTCCCAGGTGGAATTCCGCCCCTATGAGCAGCTCCAGGCCTGCAGAGCTGTGTTCCCAGGTAGAATTCCGCCCCTATGAGCAGCTCCAGGGCTGCAGGGCTGTGTTCCCAGGTGGAATTCCGCCCCTATGAGCAGCTCCAAGCCTGCAGGGCTGTGTTCCCAGGTGGAATTCCGCCCCTATGAGCAGCTCCAAGCCTGCAGGGCTGTGTTCCCAGGTGGAATACTGCCCCTGTGTGATCGCCAACGACTGCTGGAACCTGCTGATGGAGTTCATGCAGAGCTTCATGGGCAGCCACACGCCCGGCATCCCGTCGGTGTTCGGCTCCAAGCACGACAGCACCTACAGCCCCGGGGACACCATGGTGCAGTACATGGAGCTCTTCAACAAGATCCGCAAGCAGCAGCAGGTGCCCGTGGCTGGCATCAGGTGAGGAGCGTCCCCCGCAGCTCCTGACTGCATCCCCACCCTGCCTGCATCAGGAGAACATCCAGAATGTGCCACGGGAGTTGTTCCTGCTGGGGCTTTCCCGTCTCAAGGCTGTGCCGCGTTCTCCGTAAGCAGAGATGTCAGAACTCTGCTCGTGTGCCTGAAGTGTGTGCTGGGATCCCTGGGGATTCCTGGGCTTTATTAATTCTGGGTGTCCTCCACGGTCTGGGATTCTTGGATCTGTTGGTTCTGTGGTTTTTTGGACAGTGTCTCCAGGCCTGCAGGGCTGTGTTCCCAGGTGTAAGTCCGCCTCCATGCCTGCAGGGCTGTGTTCCCAGGTGGAATTCCGCCCCTATGAGCAGCTCCAGGCCTGCAGGGCTGTGTTCCCAGGTGGAATTCTGCCCCTGTGAGCAGCTCCAGGCCTGCAGGGCTGTGTTCCCAGGTGGAATACTGCCCCTATGAGCAGCTCCAAGCCTGCAGGGCTGTGTTCCCCGGTGGAATCCTGCCCCTGTGAGCAGCTCCAAGCCTGCAGGGCTGTGTTCCCAGGTGGAATACTGCCCTTGTGTGATCGCCAACGACTGCTGGAACCTGCTGATGGAGTTCATGCAGAGCTTCATGGGCAGCCACACTCCCGGCATCCCGTCGGTGTTTGGCTCCAAGCACGACAGCACCTACAGCCCCGGGGACACCATGGTGCAGTACATGGAGCTCTTCAACAAGATCCGCAAGCAGCAGCAGGTGCCCGTGGCTGGCATCAGGTGAGGAGCGTCCCCCGCAGCTCCTGACTGCATCCCCACCCTGCCTGCATCAGGAGAACATCCAGAATGTGCCACGGGAGTTGTTCCTGCTGGGGCTTTCCCGTCTCAAAGCTGTGCCGCGTTCTCCGTAAGCAGAGATGTCAGAACTCTGCTCGTGTGCCTGAAGTGTGTGCTGGGATCCCTGGGGATTCCTGGGCTTTATTAATTCTGGGTGTCCTCCACGGTCTGGGATTCTTGGATCCGTTGGTTCTGTGGTTTTTTGGACAGCGTTTCGTGCAGGGAAAAGAGAAATTCCAGAAGATTACAGCCATCTCTTAAATTTCTATTTTTTTTTTATATCCACATTGGTGTTTTGTTGTATTTCATCCCAATAAAAGGCTGGATTTTGGGAGGAGGAGTTGTCCCAGCACAGTGAGGGTTGTGTTGTAAATTTCCAGGCTTCCCTTGGATTTCCTTCAAGAGCTTTATGCCCTCAAAGCAAACATTTTCCTGTGAAAAAAATCCAGCAATCCTCTAATTTTCCTGTTCCTGGCACGTTCTTACCTTGCCTTCATCCTCTGTAGCTGATGGGAATGTCAAAATCTGCTGCCTCCCAATGAAGGCTCTGGATAAATTAAAAAATAAAATAAATAAGCCTGGCAGGAGCATTGTCTGGCACTGAGAGAATTCCAGCTGCTTTATCCCATTGTTTTTAAGGTAGATAATAAATATCCTGTCCCTGCACACCATTTGAGAAGTCCTGATGGTTTCAGAGTCAATGGAATAAGGAAGGATTTGGGCACTAAAAGCCAAAAATTCATTGTAAGACGTAATGATATCACTTGAATATATTTTTTCCTTCATATTTCTGGGAAGGCACCAGCATTAAAAAAAAAAATTGTTGGTTCCTTGCCCATAAGGGTCTGAACAGCAAAGAAAACAGAAATAATTTGTCTTAAACAGGTTTTTTATATGAAGCAAAAAGGAAAAAAAAGCTGATTTGTGGCTTGATTTTCTGGCTGAGAATGGTTTTGTTGTTTTTTTTTTTATAAATATGATGCTCTATTGTTTATACTTGTAAACCTAATTAACTGTTAAAGTGCTCAGAGCTTTCAGTTGTGAGGATTTAATAAATTTAATCAGCACAGGGCCCAGAAAGAGATGGTTCATGAGCCATAAGAAATGGCACAGTGTCCCCTAGGTGTGGTAGAAATTCCAACATGCTGAATACACTGATTTTTTTGCAGCTCTTAGCCCCAAGTTCATGACTTTTGTGGGACTGCTCAGTGGTGAAAATCCACTGTCCTTCCATGTAGTTAAACTGGGAAAACTTAGGGAAACAAGCTAGGATTTATAGGGATGGTTATCCCTGTCCTGTTTCCCATTACAAGCCCTAAGTTTAAAAAAAAAAACCCTGTTAATGAGCAGATTAGTCATGGTGAATGTTGGGAATGCTTTGTTAATTCCCGAGGCTGCTCCGTAAGCAGATGTCAAAACTCTGCTTGTGTGCCTAAAAACCATGGAAGTGTGTGCTGGGATCCCTGGGGATTCCTGGGCTTTTAGGAATTCACCCTGCTGTTCCTGGAGTTCCAAAAAGGGACCCCTGGAGCCTTTAATTAACCCCTTGACGTCAGTGGGTTTCCAGAGAATGAGGATGAGGAGGATTTAGTCCTTTATATCCCAGCAAAGCTTGTTGCTGCTTTCTGCAAATGAGGGATTCAGCTGCTCCTTTCACTCCCTTCATGGCCAAAATTACTCTATTTCCGTGAAAAAAAATGCTCATTTTGGCTGTCAAATCCCAGTGTGGAAGGTTGGTTTTCTCACAGGTAGAGGTGGCCACACTGGGATCCTGCTCCATCGTGGATCCTTTTTTTTTCCGCTTCTGCACCTCTCAAAATCTCTTGTCAGTGTTGTTTCATTCCCTAAACTGGGAATAAAATTCATTCCCAAGAGGGTTTTTTTTTTATTATTTATATTTCTTCATTTATACAGGTGATGTTATCAGGGTCACGAGTACTTCAGTGCAAGAGCCAGTCCCAAGTCTCACTGCCACCAGAGGATTTTTGGGGCTTTTGTTCTGTTCTTGTGCTGTGGCATTTTTTTAATCTCACCAAGAGAGTGAGGATCGTTACCCTCCAGTTTTAATTCTTAGATGTTGCAGGCTCATTGCAGCTGTGCCAGTGTGGATTTCTGTGCAGGTACAGGGACAAAATGGGCCAGGCATGGGTGCCACCGTCACCTTGGGGTCCCTGTCACCCCAGGGGCCATGTGGGGTGTGACCCCATTATCTCAGAGCCCCCACTCCAGGTTCTCCATCACCTCATGGTCCCTGAGGTGATGGGAAGGGTCCAAGGGGGGCTGTGGGGACCTTTTGGGGTGTCCCCTCACCACCTCAGGGAACCTTTGGGGTGTCCTCTCACCACCTCACAGACCCTTTGCGGTGTCCCCTCACCACCTCAGAAACCAGAGCCCCTCCATGGTTTCCCCATCCCCTCAGGGTCTTCATCATCTCAGAAGCTCCTTGGCCCCCCATCACCTCAGGGACCCTTTAAGGTGTCCCCCTAATCCCCTCAGGGTCTTCATCACCTCAGAACTCCCCTGCCCTCCCCGGGGTGCCCCCTCATCGCCTCAGGATCTCCATCTCAAGGCATCCATCACTCTCACCACCTCACAGACCCTTTGCGGTGTCCCCTCACCACCTCAGAAACCAGAGCCCCCACACCCCCTCCATGGTTTCCCCATCCCCTCAGGGTCTTCCCTCATGAGGACAGAGAGGGACAGAGGGGTGGGGGGATATGGGGGCTGAGGAGGAGGAGAGGAGGGGTCTTCGGTGCTCCCCCCCTCAAAGAGACCCCCCCCGTTCTCCGTGGAGGGGCTGAGGCGGACCCCGCTGCGCTCCCCCCTCAGCCCTCACGGGGGCTTTGTGTGCGGGCGGGACCCCCGCGCCGGGCTCGGCGGCTCCGCAACTTTGCCTTTGTTGAGGGAACATCCTCCCCTCTCCGCGTTCCCCCCCTCATCCTCGGGATCCATTCCCACCTCCCCACACTCCCTTTTATCCTCCTCTTCCTAAAATCCCCCAAACCCCCCTCCAGCTCCTCCTTCCCGGGACCCTCTCCCCCTTCCCCGGGAGCGTGAGGGGGTGCTGGGGGTCGTGGCTTTGCTGGGAGGTGGGGAGAAAAAAAAAACCCTTAAAAAACTGCCATGAAACCTCTGTGCTGAGCTGGAGCGGGGAAAGGGCACTAAAACGGGGAAATTCTGTGCGGGTTTGTGTTTATTTAGGAAAAAAAAAAACAACCCTAAAAAGCCGTGCGTTTGTGTCCCCAAGAGGGGGGAAGAGCTGAACTTGATCCGGGGGAGGGCTTGGCACCAAAACTGCTCCAAAATCCCCCTTTTTAAACCTCCAAGGGGATCCCCCCCTTACCACGGAGTCACGGGAATCACGGATCAGGGATAACCGAGCCCTTCAAAACCCGAATCCAGCGCTGGAAAAGCTGCTAATTTTAGGAAAAAAAATCGCCCGTTAATCGCTTTACACGTAGGGAACGAGGCTGATCCTTGTGTCAAAAGAGCTCCGGGTGGAACGGCGTGGAAAGCATCCCGTTATCCCCAAATATTGGAGCTGGGAGAGTGGGAAGTTGCCTTTACTTTGCGGAGTTCTTGGCTGTAGTTTTTAGTCAGGGAGAGATGCCTGGAGTGGCTGGGCTCGTCTGGTGTGAAACGAGGCAAAATTTGGTCCTTTCACGCTCCGCTGCCTCGGGGAAGATGCTCCTGGAGCCCAGGGATGGAGGTGGAGATTCCAGGGAAAACGGATGGATTTCAGCGGGAGTTTTTTCCTGGAGTTTTCAGGCTTTCCTGTGAGGAAGAAAGGCAGAAATCAGTGGATTAAAAGGGATGATTTGTGGGGCTGGAAGCAAAAAATAAGGTGTTGTGGAGGGGGCTCAGAGCTGAGCTGCAGCTGAGGAAATGTGGCTGGGATGTGGGAATGAGGATGGGAGAAAGAGCTGGAGGATGAGAGGGGATAAACTAGTGGAATTGTGAATTAAAAACTCCCTGCGGATGCGAGCAGTGTGGATTAAATTTGGATTAAATGAGTGTTGCTGTAAAGTGTTGGGAGCTGCCCCGTGTGGAATTTTCACCAAAATTTGGCTGCTCTGCCTTGGGCAGCTGCCCTGGGGGGCTCCTGTGGTTTATTCAGGGTCACAGAGGTTGGGTGATGTTTATAAACCCAAAAAGGAGAACGTTTGGGGTTTTATTTGGTGTTTTTAATTGCCTTGAGAACGGGCTGGGTGCAGATATCTGGGAGCGATGTGCCAAGTGTGAGCAGCATTTGATGTCTCTGAGCTTTCAGCAAACCATAAATGTGCATTTATTCCTCCCCTGATCATTCTCCCAATGAATACGAGCTGACTCCAAGTGCAAAAGGGTGTTTTGAAGTTGGCAGATTTTCTTTTTTTTTCCAGCGTGAAATAATTCCGGGTTTTGTGCAAGCTGGGTTTGTTAAAAGAGAATTTTGCTTGTTCAGGAGCAGGGCTTGGACAATAGTCACACATGCAACGGGTTAGGGGCTAGAAAAGAGCCAAAAAAGCCCAAACTGGGGTTTGGTTTTTTTTTTTGGCTGTTGTGTGGCCAAGGATTGTTAGGAAGGAATCTCTTGCTGCAATTCCGGCTCCATGTGGTCCGAGCCTTGTGAGGACGGAGAAATTTGGGACCAGCCTCGTGTGCTGGGGCTGGGGGGAGCGTTTGGGCTGGGAAGGAAGTGCTGACAATTGCTCAGTGGGGACAGAAAAAAGCACGTTCGGGTTCTGGGTGTCTTTTTTTGGCAGAGGATTTCTCGTGGCTGCTGCAGCTCTGCCCACTTCACACACTGCAGGTCGTTTTCCTCGGTGCTAAACACACTCACTTGTTAATTATTATTTTTAAGCAGCCCTGTGTTGTCTCAGCACCTCTGAACACGTGAGGAGAAGCACTTGCTCAGCACCAAAAGTGGTTTATTCAGTATAAAGGACTGAAAATGCCTTTTAGATCCTGTTTTTCTTGGCCTTTTTCCCCCCCCTTCTTTAACTGTTTTTATACTGAAATGTCACAGGGCTGCTGCTGGGACTCATAAAGTGAAATTTAGTGTTTTCTCAGCCCTCAGAAGATGTTATTGGATTGATTTAGAACAGTTAACAATGGAAATATTTCAAAATAATACAAAATTCTAAAAAATCCTACAGCATTCAGCTGCTGCTGTGTAAGTGTGGATTCCTTCCTGAGTGTTTTTAGCTTTGAGGAAGCGTGAAAGATTTTCTGAAATTCACCCTAGCTCTGAGGCAAAACAAAACCGAGGGGTTTGGTTTAAAATTGTTATAAATAAATATAGAAATAATAAATAAGTTGTCTGACAGCTTTGCCTGTGACTGGGAGCAGTGGTTGAGGGCAGGAGGAATGGGAAGCTGGGGTTGTTTCAAAGGTCTCCCCTCCAACCCTTTATTTTCTGCAGGAATCCTCTCCGGTGAGAATGAGAACTTTTCTCACTTTGTTCAACAACATTTGTGGTTTTCAGCTTGAATATTTCATCAAGGGTTGGGTTTGTTGCTGGGGTTTTAATTTTTTTTTTTTTTTTTCCCTTTGGGGAACGAAACCTTGGGAGATGTTTTTATCTCAGCAGCCTGATATTCATAAATTCTCCACCCTTTCCCAAACCCTTTCACTCCTTCCCAAAATCTTCCCCTTTCCCAAACCTCTCCACCTTTCCCAAACCTTTCACCCCAGGCTCTTGTCTAGAAAAAAGCCCCCCTTGAATTCCAGTGAAAGAAAGAGGTCCCTCATTAGTGTCAAACCCTTAATGAGCCTTTGCTCCTAAGGATGCTGAGCAAATCCAAATTGTTGAACAGAAATTATTTAAAAATCCCATTCATAGCTGAGAATATCTCGGTTGTTGGTTGGTGTTTCCCTGTGTGCCCTCAAATGCTCTTCACTTTGGGGTTTTAGGAGGTTTTAGCTCCAAGGTGGATCAGGTGAGGCTTTTGTGGCTCATGGAATTCCAGCACAGAGCAGCCAGAACACCCCATGAAAACAAAACAGATTGAAAGGGAGGGGAGGTGAAACTGGAGGTGAGATTCTGCCCTTTGCC